AGAGTCCCGACTCAACTCAAACTAAACTGTCTATTGTACAGCAGAGTGTGTGTCCAACTCCAAACCCCCACAACTGAATAGATAAGAGCATATTTTTCTGCACGTTAACTCTAGAAGCTTATTACCTAAAATTGACCAATTGAAAGTGTGGGTTCACGGCTCCAATCCAGATGAGTTGGTCATTACTGAGACGTGGTTAGGAAAGAGTGTTTTGAACACTAATGTTAACCTTTCTGGTTATAACCTTTTTCAGCAAGACCGATCTTCCAAAGGTGGTGGAGTGGTAATCTTTACCAAGGAACACCTTCAATGCTTGGTTGTCTCCACCAAGTCTGTCCCCAAACAATTTGATTTGCTGGTTTTAAGCATTCAACTTTCAAATAGCTCTTTGTTGACTGTTGCTGGGTGTTATCGTCCACCATCAGCACCGGCCTGTACCCTACCTGCCCTAAGCTCTCTCCTGGCCCCTTACACTAAGTCTGAATTTGTCCTGCTAGGTGACCTAAACTGGGACATGCTTAAACCACCTGACCAAGTCCTAAAGCAATGTGACTCCCTTAATCTTTCTCAGATTATTGCCACCCAGAAAAGGCTACTCTCCTTGACGTTATCCTCACAAATAATCCTGATAGGTATCAGTCTGGTGTTTTCTGTAATGACCTTAGTGATCAGTGTTTTACAGCCTGTTTTCGTAATGGTTGCTCAGTGAAACGACCTGTCCTGATTTGTCATAGACGCTTGCTAAAAAACTTGAATGAGCAAGCCTTCCTTCATGACCTGGCCTCTAAATTGGTATAGAATCAGCTTGATCCCCTCTGTCGAAGACGCTTGGACCTTCTTTTTTGATATTTTCAGTGGTATTGTTAACAAACATGCCCCCATAAAGAAAAAGAGAATTAAAAACAGGTTCAGCCCCTGGTTTCGACCGTGATCTGGCAGAGTTACTCCACCTCAAGAATTCCATTTGGCGAAAGGCTCGGCTCACGCATACTCAGGCTGACTGGCTCTCGTTCAGGCAAATGAGAATTAAGTGCACGCAGGCTATCCGGAAGGCTAAAGTTAGTTACTTTAAGGAGCAGTTCTCTCTCTGTGGGTCTAACCCCAAGAAGTTTTGGAAAATGGTTAAAGATCTGGAGAATAAACCCTCCTCCTCACAGCTGCCCATGTCCCTTAATGTTGATGATGTGGTTGTTACTGACAAGGAGCCCATGGCTGAGCTCTTTAATCACCACTTCATTAAGTCAGGATTCCTATTTGACTCAGCCATGCCTCCTTACCCGTCCAACATTTCCTAATCTCCCACTCCTTCTAATGCGACTAGCCCCGATGCTCCTCCCTCTTTTTCCCCAGCCCCGCTACAAAGTTTCTCCCTGCAGGCGGTCACTGAGTCCGAGGTGCTAAAGGAGCTCCTTAAACTTGACCCCAAAAAACCATCTGAGTCAGATGGTTTAGACCCTTTCTTCTTTAAGGTTGCTGCCCCTATCATCGCCAAGCCTATCTCTGACCTTTTTAACCTGTCTCTCCTCTCTGGGGAGGTTCCCATCACTTGGAAGGCAGCCAAGCAGTGTCCTTTATTTAAAGGGGGAGATAAAGCTGATCCTAACTGTTATAGGCCAATTTCTATTTTGCCCTGTTTATCAAAAGTGTTGCAAAAACTTGTCAATAATCAACTGACTGGCTTTCTTGATGTCTATAGTATACTCTTTGGTATGCAATCTGGTTTCCGCTCAGGTTATGGATGTGTCACTGCAACCTTAAAGGTCCTAAATGATGTCACCATTGCCCTTGATTCTAAGCAATGTTATGCTGCTATTTTTATTGACTTGGCCAAAGCTTTTGATATGGTAGACCATTCCATACTTGTGAGCCGGCAAAGGAGTATTGGTGTCTTTGAGGGGTCTTTGGCCAGGTTTGCTAACTACACACAGTTTACATACACTTAGGTTGGAGTCATTAAAACTTGTTTTTCAACCACTCCACAAATTTCTTGTTTACAAACTATCGTTTTGGCAAGTCGGTTAGGACATCTACTTTGTGGATGACACAAGTAATTTTTCCAACAATTGTTTACAGACATTTCACTTATAATTCACTGTATCACAATTCCAGTGGGTCAGAAGTTTACATACACTAAGTTTACTGTGCCTTTTAAACAGCTTGGAAAATTCCAGAAAATGATGCCATGGCTTTAGAAGCTTCTGATAGGCTAATTGACATCATTTGAGTCAATTGGAGGTGTACCTGTGGATGTATTTCAAGGCCTACCTTCAAACTCAGTGCCTCTTTGCTTGACATCATAGGAAAATCAAAAGAAATCAGCCAAGAACTCAAACAATTGTAGACCTCCACAAGTCTGGTTCATCCTTGGGAACAATTTCAAAACGCCTGAAGGCACCACGTTCATCTGTACAAACAATAGTACGCAAGTATAAACACCATGGGACCACGCAGCCGTCATACCGCTCAGGAAGGAGACGCGTTCTGTCTCCTAGAGATGAACATACTTTGGTGCGGAAAGTGCAAATCAATCCCAGAACAACACCTTGTGAAGATGCTGGAGGAAACGGGTACAAAAGTATCCATATCCACAGTAAAACAAGTCCTATATCGATATAACCTGAAAGGCCGCTCAGCAAGGAAGAAGCCACTGTTCCAAAACTGCCATAAAAAAGCCAGACTACAGTTTGCAACTGCACATGGGGACAAATATCATACTTTTTGGAGAAATGTCCTCTGGTCTGATGAAACAAAAATAGAACTGTTTGGCCATCGTTATGTTTGGAGGAAAAAGGGGACAGCTTGCAAGCCAAAGAACACCATCCCAACCGTGAAGCACGGGGTGGCAGCATCATGCTGTGGAGGTGCTTTGCTGCAGGAGGGACTGGTTCACTTCACAAAATAGATGGCATCATGAGGAAGGAAAATTATGTGGATATATTGAAGCAACATCTCAAGACAGTCAGTCAGGAAGTTAAAGCTTGGTCGCAAATGGGTCTTCCAAATGGACAATGACCCCAAGCATACTTCCAAAGTTGTGGCAAAATGGCTTAAGGACAACAAAGTCAAGGTATTGAAGTGGCCACCACAAAGCCCTGACCTCAATCCTATAGAAAATTTGTGGGCAGAACTGAAAAAGCGTGTGCGAGCAAGGAGGCCTACAAACCTGACTCAGTTACACCAGCTCTGTCAGGAGGAATGGGCCAAAATTCACCCAACTTATTGTGGGAAGCTTGTGGAAGGCTACCCGAAACGTTTGACCCAAGTTAAACAATTTAAAGGCAATGCTACCAAATACTAATTGAGTGTATGTAAACTTCTGACCCACTGGGAGTGTGATGAAATAAATAAAAGCTGAAATAAATCATTCTCTCTACTATTATTCTGACATTTCACATTCTTAAAATAAAGTGGTGATCCTAAGACAGGGAATTTTAAACTGAGTTTAAATGTATTTGGTTAAGGTGTATGTAAACTTCCGACTTTAACTGTACCTCACTCAAAGAATGCAGTGTATAAAATCAGAACATCTGTTGTCTCAGCCACTGCCTGTCACCAAGGGAGTACCCCAAGGCTTGATCCTAGGCCGCACACTCTTCTCAATTTACATCAACAACATAGCTCAGGCAGTAGGAAGCTCTCTCATCCATTTATATGCAGATGATACAGTCTTATACTCAGCTGGCCCCTCCCCGGATCTTGTGATAAACTCTCTACAACAAAGCTTTCTTTGTCCTTAACCTTGTTCTGAACACCTCCAAAACAAAGGTAATGTGGTTTGGTAAGAAGAATGCCCTTCTCCCCACCGGTGGGATTACTACCGCTGAGGGTTTAGAGCTAGCTAGTTTAGAGGTAGTCACCTCATACAAGTACTTGGGAGTATGGCTAGACGGTACACTGTCCTTCTCTCAGCACATATCAAAGCTGCAGGCTAAGGTTAAATCTAGACTTGGTTTCCTCTATCGTAATCGCTCCTCTTTCACCACAGCTGACAAACTAACCCTGATTCAGATGACCATCCTACCCATGCTAGATTACGGAGACTTCAATTATAGATCGGCAGGTAAGGGAGCTCTCGAGCGGCTAGATGTTCTTTACCATTCGGCCATCAGATTTGTCACCAATGCTTCTTATAGGACACATCACTGCACTCTATACTCCTCTGTAAACTGGTCATCTCTGTATACCCGTCGCAAGATCCACTGGTTGATGCTTATTTATAAAACCCTCGTAGGCATCACTCCCCCCTATCTGAGATACCTACTGCAGCCCTCATCCTCCACATACAACACCCGTTCTGTCAGTCACATTCTGTTAAAGGTCCCCAAAGCACACACATCCCTGGGTCGCTCCTCTTTTCAGTTCGCGACTGGAACGAGCTGCAAAAAACACTCAAACTGGACAGTTTTATCTCCATCTCTTCCTTCAAAGACACAATCATGGACACTCTTACTGACAGTTGTGGCTGCTTCGCGTGATGTATTGTTGTCTCTACCTTCTTCCCTTTGTGCTGTTGTCTGTGCCCAATAATGTTTGTACCATGTTTTGTGCTGCTACCATGTTGTGCTGCTGCCATGTTGTGTTGCTACCATGTTGTTGTCATGTTGTGTTGCTACCGTGCTGTGTTGTCATGTGTTGCTTCCATGTTATGTTGTCTTAGGTCTCTCTTTATGTAGTGTTGTGGTGTCTCTCTTCTCGTGATGTGACTTTTGGTAGGCTGTCATTGTAAATAAGAATTTGTTCTTAACTGACTTGCCTAGTTAAATAAAAGGTTAAATAAAAATGTGAGTGCACAGTTTACAAAACAGAGCTGAGACCTCTCGATGCAGAATGGGGCCCATATATAAATGTCCCATGTTTTTTTTCTCTCCCCTACCCAATCCCACGATCATTTATATCAATAAGGCAACAAAAAAACTTAATTGTTTTATTTTATTTTACTGCAACACACTCTTACAGCTTTACCATCTCACCACCAGGAGGTGCTGCAGCACTTCCCACGGCTATGCACTCTTCTTCTTTATAGTCCTCTTTGTTCCACAGCACTTGTGGAAGCAGACTTTGCAGCATTTAACGGTGACGATGACAACAATGAGAACTATAGTGAGTAGCAGAGTGAACACGTCCAGACTGTGGTACTGGATCCAGTTGAGGTCGTGAGCGGCAGGTCTCAGGTGTTCCGCTCCGCCGTGACGCATCACAAACTCCGACCAGAACACGGCCAGGTCCAGGGGCTCGATGGGACGGTCCTTATGCACCGCTGACAGCTTCACCATCTTCTCCTTGTAACTGAGGAGGAAGGACATGCAACAGGGTTTATAATCTCCTCATAGACAACTCATGACTGCTAATACAGTATAAGTGAAGGAACCACTGTGTCACACTGCACAGTGCAATATTCACCTGGGACTGAATTATAATGAGGAACTCAGACTTTAATGTAAATCATGCATGGCTGACAATATGACATTTGCACTGAAACTCAATATGTGCGTGTAGATCTCAAGTTAGGATTTTGTCTCTGTACTGTTTGCACTGCTACTTGAGTTCATAGTATCTCCTAGTATTATATATTTTATTTCATTTTTAACTAGGCAAGTAAGTTAAGAACAAATTCTTATTTACAATGGCGGCCTACCCTGGCCAAACCTGGACGACGCTGGGCCAATTGTGCGCCGCCCTATATAACATGATGTCCTTGTAACATTATTACTTCCTAGTATTACGTTAACATGTCTGACCTCTTGTCGTTGATGACCTTGTTGAGGGCCTCCACTAGTTTGTCTGAGGTGATATCAAACAAGTTGAGCACCTCCCCGACACCCCTCACTGCCATGCGGTGTACGTTGTCACCCTGTTCAGCGAACAACGGCAGCATCACCATGGGAACGCCATTACAGATCCCCTCGTAGGTACCGTGGGTTCCTCCGTGGGTGATGAAGGCCTTGACCTTGGGGTGGCCTAGAACATATACAGTTGAAGTCAGAAGTTTACATACACCTTAGCCAAATACATTTAAACTCAGTTTTTCACAATTCCTGACATTTAATCCAAGTACAAAATTCCCTGTTTTAGGTCAGTTAGGATCACCACTTTATTTTAAGAATGTGAAATGTCAGAATAATAGTAGAGAGAATGATTTATTTCATTGTCCATTTGGAAGACCCATTTGCAACCAAGCTTTAACTTCCTGACTGATGTCTTGATGTTGCTTCAATATATCCACATAATTTTCCTTCCTCATGATGCCATCTATTTTGTGAAGTGCACAAGTCCCTCCTGCAGCAAAGCACCCCACAGCATGATGCTGCCACCCCCGTGCTTCACGGTTGGGATGGTGTTCTTCGGCTTGCAAGCTGCCCCCTTTTTCCTCCAAACATAACGATGGTCATTATGGCCAAACAGTTCTATTTTTGTTTCATCAGACCAGAGGACATTTCTCCAAAAAGTAAGATATTTGTCCCCATGTGCAGTTGCAAACCGTAGTCTGGCTTTTTTATGGCGGTTTTGGAGCAGTGGCTTCTTCCTTGCTGAGCGGCCTTTCAGGTTATGTCGATATAGGACTCGTTTTACTGTGGATATAGATACTTTTGTACCTGTTTCCTCCAGCATCTTCACAAGGTCCTTTGCTGTTGTTCTGGGATTTATTTGCACTTTTCGCACCAAAGTACGTTAATCTCTAGGAGACAACGCGTCTCCTTCCTGAGCGGTATGATGGCTGCATGGTCCCATGGTGTTTATACTTGCATACTATTGTTTGTACAGATGAACGTGGTACCTTCAGGCATTTGGAAATTGCTCCCAAGGATGAACCAGACTTGTGGAGGTCTATAATTTTTTTTCTGAGGTCTTGGCTGATTTCTTTTGATTTTCCTATGATGTCAAGCAAAGGGGCACTGAGTTTGAAGGTAGGCCTTGAAATACATCCACAGGTACACCTCCAATTGACTCAAATGATGTCAATTAGCCTATCAGAAGCTTCTAAAGCCATAACATCATTTTCTGGTATTTTCCAAGCTGTTAAAAGGCACAGTCAATTTAGTGTATGTAAACTTCTTACCCACTGGAATTGTGATACAGTGAATTATAAGTGAAATAATCTGTCTGTAAACAATAGTTGGAAAAATTACTTGTGTCATGCACAAAGTAGATGTCCTAACCGACTTGCCAAAACTATAGTTTAACAAGACATTTGTGGAGTCGTTGAAAAACGAGTTTTAATGACTCCAACCTTAGTGTTCAACTATACTTCAACTATAACATAGGACATGAAACCACGAAGAAGAAGTAGTAGTATTGCTTCTCTTGCACAATGGCAACAAAGTAGCATGTTGTGTTTACTGCGAAGAGTACCCCTCTAACTTCTGTAACCCAGGTGGTTTTCATGATATCTATATCATTGTAACATTATCTCTGATTATGAGAGACTAAACCAACCCAGCAGCTCATTCTGAGGAAGCCACTTCATCAATCTGACGTTAGCTGGAGCGTTTTTAGGCACCACTCCTGTGTACCTCCATACCACCTGAAACACAGAAAACAACAGCTTACCTTCCTAATCAAGTCATATAGAATCATCTGCCAGTTCTGGATATAGTGATGAAGGTACACCAGTTTGTAGTGGGATATAAATGTGTCTGGAGTTTAAGGCATAGCACCAGTGTAGCTCCACACAAACTGAACAACATAGAGCAGCAGCTTGCCATGACCCTTGACATAGTATATGGAGAATATGCAAATGCCACTGAAACTCCATGTAATTACAGTATTCCTATGAGTTAAGTACCACGGGTGACAAAGGACTTGTTCTTAGTTTAGATTAGACTAATGGTGGATTGGAGATTAGGCCTATATGCTTAACATGCATAGTACTGTGCTACTACAAACACTGACATCTCAACTGTGAGTGAGAATTAATATTCTAAGATTTAGAAAATATGTTGTCAGTTGTTGATATTTACAGAAGATTGTAAAGATTGTGTTGGTCAGAAAGGGTTACTTTTGACAAGCTAATAGGGTGCCATTTGGGACGTATTCGAAGTGTCCTTACCCTCTGAGGGATCCTGCTGAAGGCATCAAAGAACTGCTTGGCTTTCTCCTCCGGCATCTGAGAGACCATAGAGCCCAGGGTGAAGACCACGAAGCCATCCTCTCCTGACTCATCCACAAACTCCTGCAGGTCCTGTTGAGGCACGGTGGGAAGGGTTAGTTAACAAAAACATTTTTCATTTACATTTTCGTAATCTAGCAGACGCTCTTATCCAGAGTGACTTACAGTCAGTCAGTCAGTGAGTGAGATGCTACTCTTGCTTTACACGAGCGTGGTATGTGTAGCTTGTTGTTGTTGGTCATAAGTCATGTGTGTGGCAAAAGTTAGGAGATATCTAATCAATGAATGATGGAATTAAAAGTTAAAGGAGAAGGTTAGGCTACAATGACCAAGAGCCAACAGGTAGGCTGCTACTTAATTCAGAATGGAGTTGTTGTTATTTTTAACTGTAGGATGAGAGCGCATGCACTGCAGCCTCAATTAGCCTAGCTAGCTAACATTAGCTAGCTTAACTAGCTTCTCCCGGTTTGATGCAGTCAAGACAGGTACTATGTAATCATATTTGATGATAAATAACCTAGCTATGGCAGCTATTACATGCTGACAAAACCGGCCACGTGCGCAAGCTTTGTAACAATAAATGTACACATACATGTAATTCAATCATTTCATCGCTAAAATAGAACGTAGTTCTATTTTAGACGCTTGACGTGCTGCAAGTCCTGCCTCTCCCATCTAGTAGAGAACACGTGCTTTTGTAGAACTCAAAATGGGTCAAAATTCTCCAAAGATCCAGCACAAAAAAAAACCCATATGCATTTCAGGTAAACAACACAATGTTTATCTCCTAGGACAAATTAGTTAGCAATAGCAAGTTAGCTAAATGTTCATGAATGTTTCGACCTGTTCCAAAATTAATATAGTTGGTTCACAATTGGTGTTGGTATTTTAACCTGCGTGTCATGAACACGTCTGGTAGGGATAGACAAAATCAACATACGCACGTTAAAGGCGCTGCATGGTCAATCTGACGTCTGCATTGGCCGTGCAGCATTTATGCCTTGATCACACCGACAGCAATATTGCATTTTGGTACACCATAAGTACATTAATTTCCAATGGAAAGCTGCGTTTGCCTTGCAGCATTGCGTTGCAGAGGCATTTGCAGTGTGTTCTTTGTGGTGCATACGTTGGATTTATCGAACGTATGCCTCAAACTGGATGCGTAGACGGCGCCATATGGATGTTGAACTTTTGTTGCACACACATCCAGATGATACTGCGTTCCATTTTGCGCAAAACACTATCGGTGTGATCGAGGTGATATGGTATTCATACTTCTTGCACTTCACGGATCAGCTCAGAGCTGTTGTCAAGGAAGTGAGTTTGTGTTTATACAGGATCTCTCGCCCTCACCTACCGTCAACCAATCATGTCAATGATGAGTTATACGGAGCCCTCCACATTATTACACAATTTGAGAGGCGCAAGGCAATGCGGTACAGAGCTCAATTTGACCTCTGCGTGACTCCGGAGGCTTCGCAATTGCGTCACACCATCCATATGGCGCCTCCGACCACAGTTTCAGATCAAGCATAAATTGGCTCTTAGTCTACTATAGCGCGAGTCGGCTTGGTTGGTGCTGTCTCTTGTCTCTCCCTCCTTTCTTCACCCGTGTCACTCGCTCACAGAACGGCCCCTCTCCCGCCTGTTCAAGCGGCACCTCTATCTCCCTCCCTCCAGTGTTGCTATTTTTCAGTGAGATCTGCTATTGGTTCCTTGATTTGTCGCTAGATGATGTTTTACCATTGCAGCGATGACGTCACAGTACCAATTTGCCTTGCTGCGGTCCCCGACGTAGCATTTTCGCCCCCTCTCCTGCCGCACAGCACCTCTTGTACTTCTCTGTCTGTCTGTGTGCCATTGCTGTGACGTCTGTTGCACAGACAGCTTCTCCCACTCTCATTTACGGACTAATTGAGTGGGAAAAGTAGCTAAATGCTATCAAAACCATAGAAACCCTCAGTGTCAAAACTCCCCAAAGGCAGCCTGAAAAGTAGTTTAATTTGTGCTAGAATCTTTTATCAATTAAAATAGCTGGAGGGGTCTAAAAACTAGCTAAATATCGACAAAATCGCTAAGTTGGCAACACTGAGCCTATCGCGCGTTATCAGCTCCGGTTAATAAAGTAGCTTAAAAAATGACTTTTCTGCTGCTTCCCTCACTGGGATTGGAATGGCTCTGGATCTGAACAGGTCTATATGGAATGGGTCTAGTTGTCCTCGGGTCTTTTGGGAATGGGTGTCCTATATATTTTTTATTTTATTTATGCATATAGGTGTTTATATTGTTTTTATTTTACTTATGCATATCGGTATCTATATTTTTATTTATTTATTTATGCATATTGGGTCCGGGTGGGAAAGCCTCAGGTCCATTTCAGAATGTGTCCAACTTTTTGGACCTGTGAAGACCTGTAGTTGGAACTAGAACACAATAGGGACCCTCAGGTCCTTGGTTAGATTATAGTGACCACAGTCCACGAGGAAAAAACAGTGTTGTGTCCTAAATGACACCCTATTAACTATATAGTGCACTATTTTTGACCAGGGCCCATAGATCACTGTATAGGGAATATGGTACCATTTGGGGGACATCAATGCTGTTCCTGGCTCAGGTTTCACTGGTTGAACACAGCGTTTAGAGAAGAGACAGAATGGAGGGTAGTACAGAGAGGGACATTCCCCCAACGTTAATGTTGAGCAATACTTGAGTGTTAGAACAGTCTTCGGTCTGGTTAGCAAAACATTGACTGAAGGAGGGAAGGTGAAGTTGTGAAAGGAGACCATGCTCTGATAACACCCTGTATTCATAGAAATAAAGGCATAATAAACCCTATAACAATCACAGCTATCCATAACCCCAACCCTAACCACACAAAACAATCCCTGCAGAGTAGTTTCCCTTTTTGAGGTTTGTAGGGTTGGAACTAGACCACAATAGGGCCCCTCAGTTCCTCTATTAGATTATAGGGGCCACAGTCCAGGAGGAAAGAACTGTGTAATGTCTTAAATGGCACCCTATTACCTAATATAGTGCACTACTTTTGACCAGGGCCCATTTGGGGCACATCAATGCTGTTCCTGGCTCAGGTTTCGCTGACTGAACAGTCTTTAGAGAAGCGAGAGAATGGAGGGTAGTACAGAGAGGGGCACTCCTAATGTTAATTTTGAGCAATACTTCTCTTTCTACAAAATATGAGGAACCACACTTTCCCTGCACATCTATCTGCCTTGTCCTTTTTCTTTCCCCAAGCTGAAGGATGTGGTTAGGAAACATTTGAAAAGTTATGGGTGCGATTTGAGAGTTATGGGTGCGATTATGGAGCATTTCTATTGGTGCATTGCGTTTTATATTCCCTAAAACATTGTCAGGATTACTTGTTTGGCATGACTCCCATAGCACTCTGGCGTCTGTTATCAGTACCCACAATACTTAAAATTGACAGGAAAGTAACTTGAACTCTAGGTTACACCAGGTTTGACAGATTGCAAGGCAAACTAGATGGTAATTGTACATGAAGTACAATTGATGGGACTTGCTTTAACTCTTTAAAAATATTTTTGTGATAGTGGTATAACTTGAAAAAGTGTAACTTTACTATTTAAAGCAAAGCACTTACATATTTTCAAAGTTAAATGTAGTAAAATAATTAGTCTGGTTATTTTGATAGACTACTATATCAACCATATTACTTTGGATTGTGGGGCAGTTAGATCACAAAAATGTCTGAACTACAGTTGTTGCGTGTGAAAACTAAAAGAAGAAAGATATACGACAAAGAGATCCATCAGAAGATGGGAATAAAACGCAGGATCATGTGGACCAACAGTCTTAGGAAAGCAAAGTCTGAATCATTCATGCTGTGGGTTTCAGATAAATAGATGCACAATTTACTTTTGTAAAATGTTCAATGTAAATGAAGTTTGATTTTAGTTTAATGGTGATGTAATGATTAGAAATATGATGGTGGATCTAGTGATGACAGCTCTTTAAAAGTATTTTTATGGTAGTTGAAGAACTACGTAGAATAGGTTTGTATGTAGACCTACTGATAGCTAGCTGTAGTTCTATCTAATAGATAAACTCTTTAGGCTAACAGTGATCACTGAAAAGTACATTTCCTGAAGAAAACGCCAGGGTTGTGGGTTCGATTCCCACGGGGGGCCAGTATGAAAATTGTATGCACTCACTAACTGTAAGTCGCTCTCGATCAGAGCGTCTGCTAAATGACTAAAATGTAAATGTGTGTTTGCTAGCATGTTTTAAAGTATGTATGCTTTTGAAATATGTTATAGTAGTGGTAGTGTCTGCAGTAGTAATGGTGGTGACTGGTTATAATTGAAGAGGTAGGTAGATGAAAATATGGATTGATTGATTGATTGGTTGGTTGATAGGATAGGATAGCCTGAATATGCGAAAGTTGGTTTGGTTTCTCTAGCTTGAACGGTTCAAGAGTTACAATTATTGCTGGTGGATATTATATGCTAAACCAGAGCTGGTGCGAACCACAGCTAGGTAGCTATGCCCAGGAACAGAGCTGGACCAGAGCTAGTGCAGACCAGAGCAGTAGTTGTGTGGGGGTCAGTAGTTGTGTGGTTGTCGTCAGTAGTTATGGTCAGTAGTTTTGGTCAGTAGTTGTGATCAGCAGTTGTGTGGTTGTGGTCATTAGTTGTGTGGTTCAGTATTTGTGTGGTCAATAGTTGTGGTCAGTAGTTGTGTGGTTGTGGTCAGTAGTTGTGGTCAGTAGTTTTGGTAAGTAGGTGTGTGGTTCAGTAGTTGTGTTCAGTATTGTGTGGTTGTGGTCAGTAGTTGTGCGGTTGTGGTCAGTAGCTGTGATCAGTATTTGTGTTAAATAGTTTTGTGATTGTGGTCAGTAGTTGTGGTGAGTAGTTGTGTCATTAGTGGTCAGTAGTTTTGGTAAGTAGGTGTGTGGTTCAATAGTTGTGGTCAGTATTTGTGTGGTTATGGTCCGTACTTGTGGTCAGTAGTTTTGTGGTTGTGGTTTAGTAGTTGTGGTCAGTAGTGGTCCCTAGTTTTGTGGTTGTGATCAGTGTTTGTGGTCATTAGTTGTGTGGTTCAGTAGTTGTGTGGTCAGTCGTTATGGTCAGTAGTTGTGTGGTTGTGGTCAGTAGTAGTGATCAGTAGTTTTGATAAGTAGTTGTGTGGTTCAGTAGTTGTGGTCAGTAGTTGTCTGTTCAGTAGTTGTGTGGTTGTGGTCAGTAGTTGTGTTGTCAGTAGTTTTGGTCAGTGGTTGTGGTAAGTAGTTGTGTGGTTCAGTAGTTGTGGTCAGTAGTTGTGTGGTTGTGGTAAGTAGATGTGGTCAGTAGTTTTGGTAAGTGTGTGGTTCAGTAGTTGTGGTCTGTAGTTGTGTTGTTGTGGTCAGTAGTTGTGGTCACTAGTTGTGTGTTGTGGTCAGTAGTTGTGGTTGTCATCATTTTTGCCAAAGCTGCCACGTGCTCCTCTGCGTCTGTGAGTATCCATAGCAACGGCTCTGTTGATGAGACATGCGAAAACTGTTAGCTGTCGTTTGCTAGCTACTTTTTGTCACTCTAAACTCAGACAAACAGCTGTAACATTTTATTGGTAGTAGATATTTTGTCTGTTGGGGGAGGGGTCAAAACGGTAGTTTGGAAAATGGGGTAAAATGTGTTAATGCAGTTACTAAAACAGCTGTATCGTTAGATCCATAGAATATATTTTGATAGTATAAAAGACCGATCTGCATGTTTTAAAGTTTGAATTACATTTCTAGCTTAAACGGTTTAGGAAGAGTAGCATTCCAAATAATAATAATAATAAGAAGAAGAAGAAGAAGTATGACGAAGATTTTGAATGGGACGTTTGCTTTGCAAGTCCCATTAATGAGAGCTAGTGGAATGTGGGCTGTAGAACGTGAGGAGGAGCTAGTCGGTAGATAAACGGAGAGCTGTGTCCAGTCAGTCCCTATGGAGGAAACAGAGATCCGGTTACAGCTGGCCGCTAGCTGAGTGTCTGAGGCAGGGAAACACAACATCTGGGGTAGAGGACAACACCCAACACTCTGACAGACTGACTGTCCCTTTAAAACACCCAACAGAATCTTTCTGACTCTTTTACAACATTAGGGCTTCAGAGGAGAAAGTAGTCTGTCTGTCAAAACATAACGATCTTGAAAAGAGATATGGTCCCAAATTAGAATGTAAGAGAATAATTTGATAGCTTGAAATGTAATGTAAACAAGTTATAATTTAGCTAAATTTTTCCCAGAGGAATCTCTGCTGTGGTATAACTGCCACTGCAGTGAATCTATCCCTTAAGGCAGCGGTATCAAACTAATTCCACGGAGGGCCGAGTGTCTGCGGGTTCTTGGTTTTTCCTTTCAATTAACGCCAAGACAACCAGGTGAGGGGAGTTCCTTACTAATTTGTGTACAAGTACAAGGGTGGAGCGAAAACCTGCAGACCCTTGGCCCTTTGTGGAATTAGTTTGACACATGTGCCTTAAGGTTTCTGGAACTGGATCCATATAACGTATAGGGTGCACAGCTCTGCACAGTTGATGTTTCTGCACAGTTTAAGTTATTTATTTTATTTACCGGTGGAAGTGGATCTCTTTTACCACAGTTGATGCCTCCAATGTTGACCATGTTGGGCATCCTGGGTTTGGGATACTCAAAGGAGTAGTCATACCTCAGCAGCCAGATCGCCCCATGCCCCAGCAGTTCCCTGTATGTCATGTCTTTCTCCAGGTACCTACTGGTCAGCTCGTCGAAGCTAGCAAACATTACCGTACACAGGTAGCTCTCCAGACTGTACATGAGCATGTTCTTAACCCTCCCTAGGAAGTCCATGTGGTCAGTGTTGCCGGTGAAGAAGCGTGGTACGTAGGATGGGGGAGTGGGGCACTGGGCAGCCCTATCCTCCATCCCACAGGGGATCCCCTTCAAGAAGTACACCGCTGGGATGTTGAAGGAGTCAGCGATGATGGATCCACAGGGTAGGAAGGGGTCAGTCAGCATCATCTTGAACCCTTCTCCTCTCAGGCGCTGCATCAGGGGCTCGTCATACAGCAGGCCCTCACAGCCTTTCACCTGCATGTTGGTGAAGTCAATCAGGCCCTGCACGTTCATAAATATGTCCGTTACCTTCGGGGTCTTGCGGAACATGTCGTCCTTAATTTTGTTGATGTTCTTGTCCAGCTGTTCCTTGTTGTAGGGGACCCTGAAGATCTCAGTCCTGTGGTAGTCAGAGCCCTTGATGAGGATGGATGTCTCAGGGACTAGCACCACCATCTCATGGCCCCTGGCCGCCAGCTCCTTCACCAGCAGCTTCATGCTCAGCCAGTGGCTCCCGTCTACAGGCACCACCAGGACCTTGTCCCCTTGGACGGGCCCCGGACACAGGGCTAGGCAGCACAGCAGAACCAGCAGTCCCAGCCTATTCCCTGGCCTCAGCCCCAGCCCTGGCCCCAGCCACAGCCCCTGCCCCAGCTTATCCACAGGAACACTTTTCCCCCAGCCCATGCCTCTCTGCCTCTCTGCTCAGTTACACAAGCTGTGTTGTGAGAAGTACACTACCTCCCTGAGGTCTGGCACTGAGTGCTACTGAGAGGCGGTTAAACCTCAGACTAAACTGTGGGAGTGTGTCTCCCTGCTAGGTCTGGGTCTGTCTGTGCAGGCAGTCTGTTATATAACCCCAGTCAGTCCTTCCTGTGGACTAAAGTCTATCTGCAGTATGAATGGTTCAGGTTAATGATTGCTTAGGGCAACTGAGAGATGGAGAGGATTAGTTCACTAGTAATCTCAACGTGACAGCTTTAACATACAGTATAGAGTAGCTGAGTTGGTTCTGGGTGCTGAGATTAGCTGGCTATTGGCTAGTGAATTATAATGCAAAAGTATAACAGAGATACTGATGATCAATTAGATGTATTACTAACAAGAACTGAAACCAGAAAAGTAAGCATTGCTCATTTAAAAGGGCTGTTTGTAAAAAAGCTTTTCTCCAATAGTACTCATATTGTTATAGTTGAATTGTTGGTTTTCTTAGTTCTACAAAATGAACTGTTGTCTGTTATTTATTAATTTCCCATTGATCAGCATGACATTGAAAAAGAAAAGTAACATGAAAGGTACAGTGCCTTGCAAAAGTATTCATCCCCCTTGGCATTTTTCATATTTTGTTGCATTACAACCTGTAATTTAAATAGATTTTTATTTGGATTTCATGTAATGGACATACACAAAATAGTCGAATTTGGTGAAGTGAAATTTAAAAAAATGAAGACCAAGGAGCTCTCCAAACAGGTCAGGGACAAAGTTGTGGAGAAGTACAGATCAGGGTTGGGTTATAAAAAAATATCTGAAACTTTGAACATTCCACGGAGCACCATTCAATCCCTTATTAAAAAATGGAAAGAATATGGCACCACAACAAACCTGCCATAAGAGGGCCGCCCACCAAAACTCACGGACCAAGCAAGGAGGGCATTAATCAGAGAGGCAACAAAGAGACCAAAGATAACCCTGAAGGAGCTGCAAAGCTCCACAGCGGAGATTGGAGTATCTGTCCATAGGACCACTTTAAGCCGTACATTCCACAGAGAAGAGTGGCCAGAAAAAAAGCCATTGCTTAAAGAAAAAAATAAGCAAACACGTTTGGTGTTCACCAAAAGGCATGTGGGAGACTCCCCAAACATATGGAAGAAGGTACTCTGGTCAGATGAGACTAAAATTGAGCCATCGGGGAAAACGTTATGTCTTGGGCAAACCCAACACCTCTCATCACCCCGAGAACACCATCCCCACAGTGAAGCATGGTGGTGGCAGCATCATGCTGTGGGGATGTTTTTCATCGGCAGGGACTGGGAAACTGGTCAGAATTGAAGGAATGATGGATGGCGCTAAATACAGGGAAATTCTTGAGGGAAACCTGTTTCAGTCTTCCAGAGATTTGAGACTGGGACGGAGGTTCACCTTCCAGCAGGACAATACCCTAAGCATACTGCTAAAGCAACACTCGAGTGGTTTAAGGGGAAACATTTAAATGTATTGGAATGGCCTAGTCAAAGCCCAGACCTCAATCCAATTGAGAATCTGTGGTATGAGTTAAAGATTGCTGTACACCAGCGGAACCCATCCAACTTGAAGGAGCTGGAGCAGTTTTGCCTTGAAGAATGGGCAGAAATCCCAGTGGCTAGATGTGCCAAGCTTATAGAGACATACCCCAAGAGACTTGCAGCTGTAATTGCGGCAAAAGGTGGCTCTACAAAGTATTGACTTTGGGGGGGGTGAATAGTTATGCATGCTCAAGTTTTCTGTTTTGTTGTCTTATTTCTTGTGTGTTTCACACAAAAAAAATATTTTGTGTCTTCAAAGTGGTAGGCATGTTGTGTAAATCAAATGATACAACCCCCCCAAAAATCTATTTGAATTCCAGGTTGTAAGTCAACAAAATAGGAAAACTGCCAAGGGGGGTGAATGCTTTCGCAAACCACTGTAATTACATTGCATGCAACATGCAAGTCATAGTTACAATATTAACCCTGTTCTGGGAGGAGTCATTGTGGTTTTCTAACCTTTGAGCTATACCCTAAAGCTCAAAGTATTACCTCATGTTTTGTGAGGAATCTTGACCATTACCTTCAGCTCCTCCCCTTTCTCCTCCCACCCAAAACACTGACACGCAAACTTACGCTCACTCGCACGCACACTGCCCCTCCTCTGAACTAAATACCTTCTTTGCGCGCTTCGAGGCTAGCAACACTGAACTATGCATGAGAGCACCAGCTGTTCCAGACGGCTGTAGCCGATGTGAGTAAGACCTTTTAAACAGGTAAACATTCACAAGGCCTCAGGGCCAGAAGGATTAACAGGACGCCTACTCAGAGCATGCGCTGACCAGCTGGCAAGTGTCTTCACTGACATTTTCAACCACTTCCTGACCCAGTCTGTAATACCTACGTTTCAAGCAGAAATATGTTTTTTAGTCTATACATTAATTTTTTGTAAGAATTAGATATTTCATTGCTTTATACTGGTAGCTAATCAGTTACAAGCCCTCAATCAAACTGAGGACAGAGAAATACAGTTGAAGTCGGAAGTTTACATACACTTAGGTTGGAGTCATTAAAACTCATTTTTCAACCACTCCACAAATTTCTTGTTAACAAACTATCGTTTTGGCAAGTCGGTTAGGACATCTACTTTGTGCATGACACAAGTAATTTTTCCAACAATTGTTTACAGACAGATTATTTCACTTATAATTCACTGTATCACAATTCCAGTGGGTCAGAAGTTTACATACACTAAGTTGACTGTGCCTTTTAACAGCTTGGAAAATACCAGAAAATGATGTTATGGCTTTAGAAGCTTCTGATAGGCTAATTGACATCATTTGAGTCAATTGGAGGTGTACCTGTGGATATATTTCAAGGCCTACCTTCAAACACAGTGCCTCTTTGCTTGACATCATGGGAAAATCAAAAGAAATCAGCCAAGACCTCAGAAAACAAAATTGTAGACCCCCACACGTCTGTTTTATCATTGGGAGCAATTTCCAAACGCCTGAAGGTACCACGTTCATCTGTACAAACAATAGTATGCAAGTATAAACACCATGGGACCACGCAGACGTCATACCGCTCAGGAAGAAGACGCGTTCTGTCTCCTAGAGATGAACATACTTTGGTGCGAAAAGTGCAAATAAATCCCAGAACAACAGCAAAGGACCTTGTGAAGATGCTGGAGGAAACAGGTACAAAAGTATCTATATCCACAGTAAAACGAGTCCTATATCGACATAACCTGAAAGGCCGCTCAGCAAGGAAGAAGCCACTGCTCCAAAACTGCCATAAAAAAGCCAGATTATGGTTTGCAACTGCATATGGGGACAAAGATCGTACTTTTTGGAGAAATGTCCTCTGGTCTGATGAAACAAAAATAGAACTGTTCGGCCATAACGACCATCGTTATGTTTGGAGGAAAAAGGGGGTGGCTTGCAAGCCGAAGAACACCATCCCAACCGTGAAGCACAGGGGTGGCAGCATCGTGCTGTGGGGGTGCTTTGCTGCAATAGGGACTGGTGCACTTCACAAAATAGATGGCATCATGAGGAAGGAAAATGTATGTGGATATATTGAAGCAACATCTCAAGACATCAGTCAGGAAGTTAAAGCTTGGTCGCAAATGGGTCTTCCAAATGGACAATGACCCCAAGCATACTTCCAAAGTTGTGGCAAAATGGCTTAAGGACAACAAAGTCAAGGTATTGGAGTGGCCATCACAAAGCCCTGACCTCAATCCTATAGAACATTTGTGGGCAGAACTGAAAAAGTAAGGAGGCCTACAAACCTGACTCAGTTACACCAGCTCTGTCAGGAGGAATGGGCCAAAATTCACCCAACTTATTGTGGGAAGCTTGTGGAAGGCTACCCGAAACGTTTGACCCAAGTTAAACAATTTAAAGGCAATGCTACCAAATACTCAATGCTACCAAATTGAGTGTATGTAAACTTCTGACCCTCTGGAAATGTGATGAAAGAAACAAAAGCTGAAATAAATAATTCTCTCTACTATTATTCTGACATTTCACATTCTTAAAATAAAGTGGTGATCCTAACTGACTTAAGACAGGGCATTTGTACTAGGATTAAATGTCAGGAATTGTGAAAAACTGAGTTTAAATGTATTTGGCTAAGGTGTATGTAAACTTCCAACTTCAACTGTATGTGTGCTCCAAGTAAAGGCTTCTTGCATGCATGGCTTTGAGATGTAAGTTAACCATAATTAATTTGGGGAAAAAATATGAATTGCCATATTAGGCGTAACTAGGGTTGCAAAGGGAGGATATATTACTGGAAACTTACTAAATTTACCAGTAAACTACCAGAATTTTGGTAACTTTCAAGGATCTATCACAAGACATATCACAGGTGTCTGTAATTATCTCTGGCCCTCTGTGTGGCCTCACATTTAAAATATATAGAATGACAAAACTGCAAAACATTAACCTGAATATAAACCAGCAACTTAGTGAATACCATTGGTGTTTAATATCAAATAACATTTTATTTGTCACATACACATGTTTAGCAGATGTTATTGCGGGTGTAGCGAAATGCTTGTGGCCGTACACTACTCCAACACCATCAAGTTTACAGTCGACACGACGGTGGTAGGCCTGATCACTGACGACGATGAAGACAGCCTGAGGGTTTCAGCATGAAATATATTTTTAAAAATGTTTTACACACTTTTATTTATTTTGCTATATTGATATGTATTTGTTGTCAATGTTTTGGTGTCAAACTGGTATCAGTTGTGAAAAAAGTACAAGTTGGAAGAGTTGCAGCATTAATTGAAAATGCCATTGTTGAATAGATGCTTTTTTCATTAATTAGGCTAGTTTTTCTAGAACCATATGGTCTATCTACTAGAAACTAATGGACAATATGGACACAGATATAAAACATTTATTCTATATATAAGGGGTGTCAAACTCATTCCATGGAGGGCCAAGT